GCAGGCTGGGTGAAGTTAGTGTTTCTAAGCCCAGCCCCCTTTTCTCTGTATATACTGTACTTTCATACAAACACAAGGCGTAGGAGACATCAGTGGTGGACACGCGTGTGGAGCCGGGTGTTGCCAGATACCTTACGTGGAGCAGCCTCCCTTAGCGTCTCAGCTTTGTGCCTTCCACAACCAGATGATACCCCCCTGGAAAGCGAGCTGTGTTCCCGCAAGCTCTCAGAAAACAAGTCCCATCAGGGCCAGGGGGACGGCTGTAGTCGCCATCAGTGTGACAGCCTCCGAGCCAGGGAAAGGCGCTACCCTTAGCTACCTGAGAACAGGAAGCGTGCCCCTTTTTGCCTCTGGAATCCCACAGGTCCTACCTGTAGCAGAGTGCCCTGCGCATAGTGGGTTCCATAGGACTGGAGACTGGAAAAGATGTCTTTGTCGGGCGTTATGCTATTAAACTGTGCTTCATTTGCCTCCTGTGCAGTATTACATTGTGTAGTTTTAAGTTATGTGAGTTTTAAGATCTATAGTCTATTTAAATACTCATCATAAAGATTATTGTTGTTTAGATTGAGTAGATGATGCTGTCCTCCCTCAGGGGAGCATACTCCCCGCAGCGAGTGTGAGGTGGGGATCGGGCCGCTGCCCCCTGGGCCATTTGACGGTTTCTCATCCCTCTTCTGGTGTGACGTCCCCCTGCTCCGAGCGTGATTCTGGTTTTGAAGGGTATGCTTTCCCCCTGTCAGGTGGCCTCTAAATGCAAACGGACTGCTAATGTGGGATTTGAGCAAAGAACCACCAGAGAACTGGGGCTCGTCTTGTACCACAAGATATTGGACCCCTCGTCACCGTAATAGTAGTGAACATTCATCGAGCCTTACCAGGCCCTAGACATGGTGCTAATTCATAAGCACCTTCTGTTCGCGAGCTCCTTTAGGCAAAACATGTCCTGTCTGCCTCTGCCGGCTCCCAGTCCTTCACAGGCATCTTTGCTTCCAATCCATGTGGGCAGAGGAAATGGTATTCTGTGCTGTCTACCTGGACGCAGTGGAGAAAGCTGGCCCCACGCTGGGAAGTGCAGGTCTTGAAGTACTTTTCTTCCAGCGTGGTGAGGGTCTGGAGGAGCGGTGTTTCGCTCTAGAGACCCCAGCTTTGTGTGTGTGTGTGTGTGTGTGTGTGTGTGCGCCTCACCTCCCTCTCCGCTCATCCCCATAAGTCCCTGCCTCACCCTTGGCCTGGAAATGGACAACGATGAGCTCTGCCGCGAATTGATGGGATGGGATGGGACCGGGAACGTGCCGTCATTACCGCACCTTTCTATTCCGTGTGGGATGTAGTAGAGACCAGAGAACATGTGGTGGGATGGGGTTTTAATTGGGCTTCCCTGATTGGGAACACAGCCTGTTCACCCGGTAATTCCCACAGCAGGTCTCCTATTGCCTGGGCACTCTCCCTGGGAGGGCACATCTGGGGCCAGTAGGTGCTGCCCTGTCCCTGCTGGGCGTGGCCAGCACTGCGGTGGCCTTAAATACGTTGACTTCAATCCAATGGAGCAGCTAGATTCTCTCCAGCGTTGGGGCAGCAACTGAACATGGCAGGTAGGCTTTTGAGTGACTCCCACCTCCTGGGGCTCACACCTGGTATCACCCTGATCCCTTGAATGTGATCTGGACTTTGTGACTTGCTTTTTTGAACAATAATGGTGGCAAAACACACATAACATAGCATTTACCGCCTTAACCATTTTGGAGTGTACAGTTCGGTCGTGTTAAAGTATATTCACATCGTTGTACCCCAGTCTCCAGATCTATTCCCTCTCCCACAACTGAAACTCTGTGCCCATTAACCCTTTGAGTGCCAACCAATATCCTAGGAACTGTGCTAAAATTGCCAAGGCATGTTTGCTGATTTTAGAGCAGTTTAGGAAAAAAACTATGAATCGCAAGTAAATGAAGTTACATATTCAAAAACTTAAGGAAACCTTTACTACACTGACATATTCAGCAATATCATCATCACTAATCAAAGCAGACTTAGAACTGGACGCCATTTCGAAGCTTTGATAGCGCTCCCGGCACTTTTGGCGAAAGACAAGAGGAGAGTGATCACGCTCCCTGGCACTCTAGGGGTTAAAAAAGGCCCCAGTTCTTCCTCCTGCCCTTGGCCCCTGGCCACCTCCATTCTCCCATTCTCAGACCTGCCTCTGTGAATCTGACTACTCTAGCTCTCTCATATAAGTGGAATCACTCAGTATTTGTCTTTTGCTGACTGGCTTATTTGTTACTTAGCGTAATGCCTTCAAGGTTCATCCGGGCTGTAGCAGGTGTCAGAACTCCTTCTTTTTTAATTAAGGCTGCACCGCACTCCATTGTACGCCTGTACCACTTTCTGCTTACCCACTCATCTGTTGATGAGCCCTCGAGTTGCTTCCGCCTTTGGCTGTTGTAAGCAGTGCTGCTGTGAACACAGATGTACAAATTGTGCCTTGCTTTTTAACAAAGACGATGGCATCAAAGGGGTTGGTGTGTTGGTTCCAAGATTAAATTACAAAATCTGGCATCTGTTTTTGCTCTCTCTCTCTCTCTCGCTCTCGCTCTCGCTCTCGCTCTCTAGCTTTCTTTCTCTCTCCTGTGTGGATGGAGCTGCCATGTTTTAACCAGCCCCATGGATAGGACCTGATCAATAGCCAGCAAAGAGCTGCAGCTTCCCAGTAGCCACGCGGTGAGCTTGGAAGTGGCTCCTCCTCTGGGGAGACCTCCAGCGATCCGAGGCCCAGCAGACACCTTGACCTGGGCCTCGTAAGAGGCCTTGAGCCAGAGCTAAGCTGCTCCTGATTTCTGACCCAGAGAAACTTGGAGATAAAAATGTTTGATTTAGTTCAATCTCTGAGTTTGGGGTTGA